CTCAACTGTGTCTGCTCATCTCCCACCTCTCTCACAACCAGTTCCCCCCTCTCCTCACTGAGAACCCCCAGGAGGGCCCCCCACCACAGTCCTTGTCCAGGATGCCCAGCTGTCTGTATCTGGACAGGTGTGGGATTGGGTGTGAGACACTTGGAGGGAACATACAGGTGGGGGCTCTTTGAGGTGATCAAGGAACCTCAGGCAAAGCACCACCACCATCTGCTATAGGGTCTGCCCATCAGTCTGGGGATCCCTGAATGTTTAAATCGCCCAGTGATAGTCCCACAATGCCCTCAACTACATAAAGAATGATGGACTTCACCCACTGTTTATTCAGTGCTGTGAATATTTGGTTGCACAAGACACCAGCTGCAAAGATGATCCTGGGACTGGTGAGCTGATGCTGCCCATGAGGATGACATATTGACACCCCTGACCCCCAGCTCAGCTCTGAGTACTCAAGGGCGGGGGGACACAAGACCCTGATGTGTGTCCAGGGCCCCCACACTGAGTAAGAGGCTGATTTCCTCAGTGAGTCATTCTTGCTGAGGGGGTCAAGTGCAGCTCATTAATGTCAGTGATATGAAGAGGGTTGATAAAAACAAAACAATTTCAACTACACTGCCCTCTTCTTAGCAGGCTTTCTCAGGGTTCCTTATCCCAGGGCTACTGTATGTCTCATCAGCCTTGGTTTCATAACTGAATTTCTATTATGACATTTTTTGAGGATTCAAGTAGCAACAGATATTCACACACTGTCCTTGTGTATAATCCTAATACTTTATTGGAATGTCAGCTTCACAAAGCTTGTTTCTTGAGAAATGTCAAAATGGGAACTCTTCTTCAATTTACCATTTTAGCCTTTAAAATTTTTTCTTTCTTGTTACATACAGGAACTTTATCTTTCAAGTAAGGTTGACATGGTAAGATATGTCACCATTTAGGTGGTTTTTTTTTTTTATCATTGGCAGCATCAGAAGATATGTTTTTTTTTTCTCTGTTCTCCTCTCTTTCAGCCCATCACAGGTCCTAAAACGCTTCACATATTTCAGATCTGCTGTGTTTTTTTCATATAATCCCCTTCGGCCTCCTTGGATTCTCCTTTAAAATAACCCCACACTTCCCTAGGAGGGGTTGTCATATGCTGAGGTGTGCAGAGCCTGGAATCAGCCAGGGTGGAGCCCTGTCCCCACCCTCAACCAGCTGCACAGCCTTGATGAAGTCACTTAAATCTCTCAGCTTCAGTCTCCTCATCTGTCAACTTGGAATTATGATAGGATACAACACTTAGAATAAGACGCCAATATATATACTAAGTCTAGCACCGAGTCTGAAAGATTATAAGCACTCAATACATGCTAATTGTCATTATTATTACTCTTTTAATTGCTATACTTTCCTCCTTTATAGTCTCTGTTCTCTCAGGAGGCATTGTCCTTCTAGAAGATTTCTATACCAGCCACTGGTTATCTATAAAGATCTAAAACAGTTGAAGGTTAGTCAGAGTTGAAAGAAATGGAGAGAGACATGGAGAATTCTTGCTGAAAAATAATAATCACCATGTATCAGGCCCCTATTATGTGCCAAACAACTGCTAAGGTACAACTATGATCAGATATATCATCATCACAATATCCCCGGAGAAGGCAATGGCAACCCGCTCCAGTACTCTTGCCTGGAAAATCTCATGGATTGAGGAACCTGGTAGGCTGCAGTCCATCGGGTCGCTAAGAGTCAGACACAACTGAGTGATTTCACTTTCACTCTTCACTTTCATGCATTGGAGAAGGAAATGGCAACTCACTCCAGTGTTCTTACCTGGAGAATCCCAGGGATGGGGGAGTCTGGTGGGCTGCCTTCTATGGGGTCGCATAGAGTTGGACATGACTGAAGCGACTTAGCAGCAGCATAGTATCCCAATGAGACATGTGCTGTCATCTCCATTTTACAGATGAAGAAAACAAGGCTCAGAGAGGTTTAGTTACCTACCCATGGTCTGCAGCTAAGAAGCTGTAGAGTCACCTCTTTCATAAATGACATTATTTTCCATCTCACCACTGTCTTTATTCCTGTCGTGGCAGCTGTCACTATCTAAAATCGTCTTGGCTTTCTTCTCATTTTATTGTTTACTGTCTGTTTCCTAAGAGGGCAGGGACCTTGTCATCCTCGACCACCATTATCTGCAGTGTCAAGGACATAGAGGATGAAACTCCTGAGTGCGTGAAGGAACTGATGGAGGAAAACACCTTTCAAGAGTCTGATGGAGAAGCCCTGCTGCATTTTCCTCCTGCAGTAGGACGCTTCCCTCCTCCTCACAGGACTAAGGGGAGGCAGCTGCTCCCAAGTCTGCCCCCAAGTCAGGAGGCTGAGGAACGGGTCAGGACCTCACCTGAGATTTCCCCAACCCAGTGCCTCTCCTCCCAGTCCAGCTGTCTCTCCTCCTTCTCTCCATCTGTCCTGTTTCTCCCATCTCCTCCCAGTTCAGCTACTCCCAGGGCACGGGTAAGCAGCCCCTTGACCCACCCTGAGGTGACTGAACATTCCCCCTGAACCCACCTTCCAGACTCAAAATGGTGCCAGACCCAGAACAATCTCCTCAGCCCTGGGAAAACCCTATTTCTTGGTTAAGGAAAAAGTTTTTGTTCCTCTAGGGCTCTTAAGCAAATTTGACATTTGTTACACTGCACATAACCATTTCTCCCAAAGCACGCTCAGATGACACAGATTTCTAAGCTATGAACTCAAGTGTGTAAAATAACTTGATTCTTTTATAGCTAAATATAGTTTGTCTCTGGAGCCCTCTCTCTGCCAAATGGTAAAACACAATAGATTCCCTTCCAGGAGAAAGGCTTCAATTCAGAGTTGTAGACACTTTTTCTAGACAACTGAGGATTTTCTCCCTCCCACCCTAGGTGCCTCTAAGTTACTGCTTCACATGTGGTCAGAGTGGAACCCTGAGCAGTCACCTCTCATGCTTCTGACCAAGCACATCTATTACTGAACTCAGGTTTGGCTGCTCATACCTAGAGGGTCTAATACTGAGAGACTAGGGTTGGGTAAAAGAAAAGGTGGCTTTATTCAGGAGGCTGGCAACCCTGAGAGAAGGTGGACTCATGTCCCAAAGAACCAATTTCCCACCTTAGTTTCTGCTCGGGAATTACACAAGGGAAAAAGGAAAGGGCTGTGTGCAGGAGATAGAGTTAAATTTCTATTTTCAGAGGTAATGGACTCCATCACATGGTTTCAAGTAGTGTCATGTCTCACTTATGATTGGAACATTAACTGAGCCATAAATCTCTGATTCATTAGCCTTTCAGCTTTCAACTGGTCTGGGGTCTTTGTGCATGTGGGGAGTAAACAGTTAACTTCTCCCACTTGGTGGGGGTTTAAATATCTGCAAAACAGCTCAAAGGTTGTGCTCAGAGTATTATCTATAGTCCTGGAGGAAGAACTAACAGTTCTTGAGTTTGTTTACTGGCTAAACTATTACTATTATTACCAATTTGCCTTGCTTGTTTTCCTTTTGATCTGCATTTTCTCACTTCTTTGATTGAATTTATTCTACAGACAAGAGGCAGGTGGAGGACGTGGTGGAGGGGGACGGGTCTGTCCTGGGAGGGGCCCTGTAGCCTCCTGCTCAGTCACACTTCCTCACTCAGAAGCTGTTTCTACCAGGCTTTGAGTGCCTGGAGCCACGTTCTCGGAGGCAGCACAGCTCTCTTGGTGCCCTGTCTGTTCCTTTGCTGTAGGTCTTTGCATTCTATGGGGCATGGGTGCACCATGCTCTTCTCTGCATGTTGGGATATGAGAAACCAAAGGATCTCTCCTGGGTCCCCTCTGCCCTGAGGCCCCACCAGCCACCTCTTCTCTCCATGCCCTCAGCCTGCTTGTGTGGAGTCGCATGAGGTCACTGCTTCCAGAATCCCAGGCAGGAAGCAAATCCAAGTCCCCTCTGTGTTCAGAGTCCAAATTTAACAGGGGTGCCTGTCACTCTCCATTTCAGAACTGACTTTGTGGAGGTGTTGGGTACAAGGCCCCTTCTCGTGCCTCTCATCTTTCTTCTGATTTATTCTCTTCCCCAACCCAGAGATAATCTTGACCTATTTGGGCTGAGAAGCAACTGACTCTGAAGGTATTGTGCCAAGTTTCTCTGTAGTACAACAGGATGGTGGACTTGAGAACAACCTCTTAAACACAGTAACATTATTCCTTTGTTCTCTATTTCTCCGATAAGACTTCCCCTGGAGCAGAAGCCTCCAGGACAGTGACACAGTGTGGGGGCTGGGGAGTGGTTGGGCGTGGAGGCGGGGAGGGTAAGGGAGAAGACAAAGGCAAAAATACATCAGTCATTTCTTCACAGTATTATGCTGCCACTGGGATATCAGTGACCTTCCCCTTGTGGAATTACCAGCCCTGGAGACTGCTTTGGCATGACCCAGCACCTGACCTGAGTCTGAGTTGCCCACCCCCTCAGACCCCATCTCAGAGGGTACCTAGATGTACAGTAGATGAGGAACTGCCTGGCAGCATCCAGAGTCTAGTCACAGAGTCCCCAGGCCTGCTCATACTACCCAAGGCAGTCTATAGATTTAATGTTAGCCCTATCAAAAGACCAAGGGCATTTTCCATAGATCTGGAATGAATAATTTTTAAATTTGTGGAAACACAGAAAGTCTCCTGAGAGCCAAGACAATCTTATGGAAGAATAATAGAACTAGAGGAATCATGCTCCCTGACTTCAGACTATACTAAAAAGCTACAATAATCAAAAAAGTATAGTAATGGCCAAAACAAATAGACACATATATCACTGGAACAGAACAGAGAGCCTAGAAATAAACTCATAAACTGTCAGTTAACCTATGAAAAATGAGGCAAGACTATGCAATGGAGAAATAGTCTTTTTAATAAATTGTGCTAGGAAAAAAGAGCAGCTACATGTAAATGAAATTAATCATTCTCTAACACCATATACAAAAATAAACTCAAAGTGGACCAAGATCTCCAGGGGCACCATTGAAATCCTGAGCGATGTGCAGCTGATTAAGACTGGAGACAAGGTGGGCGCCAGCGAAGCCACACTGCTGAACATGCTGAACATCTCCCCCTTCTCCTTCGGCCTGGTCATCCAGCAGGTGTTTGACAATGGCAGCATCTACAACCCTGAAGTGCTTGACATCACAGAGGAAACTCTGCATTCCCGCTTCCTGGAGGGTGTCCGCAATGTTGCCAGCGTATGCCTGCAGATTGGTTACCCGACTGTTGCATCTGTACCCCATTCTATCATCAGTGGGTACAAGCAGGTCCTGGCCTTGTCTGTGGAGACTGATTACACCTTCCCGCTTGCTGAAAAGGTCAAGGCCTTCTTGGCTGATCCATCTGCATTTGTGGCTGCTGCCCCCGTGGTTGCTGCCACCACTGCTGCCCCTGCTGCCGCCACCGCAGCCCCAGCCAAGGTTGAAGCAAAGGAAGAGTCGGAAGAGTCGGACGAGGATATGGGATTCGGTCTCTTTGACTGATCACCAGAAAGCAGCCAACTGGGCCAGCATTATTTGTGAAATGTCCTGAAGTGCTTGACATCACAGAGGAAACTCTGCATTCCTGCTTCCTGGAGGGTGTCCGCAATGTTGCCAGCGTATGCCTGCAGATTGGTTACCCGACTGTTGCATCTGTACCCCATTCTATCATCAATGGGTACAAGCAGGTCCTGGCCTTGTCTGTGGAGACTGATTACACCTTCCCGCTTGCTGGAAAGGTCAAGGCCTTCTTGGCTGATCCATCTGCATTTGTGACTGCTGCCCCCGTGGCTGCTGCCACCACTGCTGCCCCTGCTGCCGCCACCACAGCCCCAGCCAAGGTTGAAGCAAAGGAAGAGTCGGAAGAGTCGGAAGAGTCGGACGAGGATATGGGATTCGGTCTCTTTGACTGATCACCAGAAAGCAGCCAACTGGGCCAGCATTATTTGTGAAATGAGAAAATAAAGGCTTACTTCTCTTAAAAAAAAAAAAATAATCTAAATGTAAGACTGGAAATCATAAAATTCCTCGAAGAAAGTATGGACGTAAAGTGCAGCAATATTGTTTCAGATCTGTCTCCTAAGGCAAAGGAAACAAAAGCAAAAATAAACAAGTGAGACCTAATTAAACTTAAAAACAAAGGAAGCCATTGACACAATGAAAAGACAACCCATTAAAGGGGAGAAAATAATTGCAAATGATATGACCGATAAGGAATCAATAGACAAAATATATATACACTACTCAATATCTAAAAACCAAACAGCCCAATTAAAAATGGGGAGACACCAGGATAGATACTTTTCTAAAGAAGACATACAGATGGCCAACAGGCACGTGAAAAAATGCTCAACACCACTAGTCATCAGAGAAATGTAAATCAAAGCCACAGTGAAATATCACCTCATATCTGTCAAAACGACTGTCAGCAAAAATCAACACAAGTGACAAATTTTGGCAAAGATGTGGATAAAAGGGAACCCTTGTGCACTGTTGGTGGGAATGTAAATTGATAAAGCCACTGTGGAGAACAGCTGGAGGCCCCTTGGAAAACTAAAAATAGAACTACCATAGGATCCAAAATTGCACTCCTGGGCATACACCCAAGGAAAATGAAAACATTAATTTGAAGAGATACATGCACACCCAAGGCTCTTAGCTGCACTATTTACCATAGCCAAGATACCAAAGCAACCTAACTAACAACAGATGAATGGATTAAAAAGTTGATTATAAAGTGATATATATGCAAATGTATATGTGTGTATGTGTGTGTGTGTGTTTGTGTATACATGTGAAAAGTGAAAGTGAAGTCGCTCAGTCATGTCCGACTCTTCGTGATCCCATGGACTGTAGCCTACCAGGCTCCTCCGTCCATGGGATTTTCCAGGCAAGAGTACTGGAGTGGGGTGTCATTGCCTGCTCAGATATGTATACATACATAAAAAGAATTAAATTTTGCCATTTGCAGCAATATGGATGGACTTGGAGGGTATTATGCTTAGGGAAATAAGTCAGAGAATGACAATGTTGTTTGTTGTTTTAGTTGCTAAGCCGTGCCCAACTCTTTTGTGATCACATGGACAGTAGCTTATCAGGCCCCTCTGTCCATGGGATTTCCCAGGCAAGAATACTGGCGTGGGTTGCTGTTTCCTCCTCCAGGGGAATCTTCCCATCCCAGGGATTGAATCCCTGTCTCCTGCACTGCAGGTGGACTCCTTAGTGCTGAGCCAACAGAGAAGCAGGACAAATGCTGTGTGTTATCCACTTAAATGTGGAATCTAAAACATAGAAACAAAGTAGTGAGTACAACGCAAAAGAAACAGATTCACAAGCATAGAGAACGAATTAGTGGAAACTAGGAGGGAACGGGGGAGGGGCAAAGTAGGGATGGGGATCAAGAGATACAAACTACTATGTACAAATAAATAGTTAGAAGGATACTGAACAGCACAGGGAATGTTTTATAACTATAAATGGAGTATAACTTTTAAAAATTATGAATCAATTTTTAATTGATTGTCCTGGCCCTCCAGGTTAGCATGGTCGTGCTCTATGCCTGAAACATATAATATTGTAAATACAGTATAGCTGAAACATATAATGTAAATCAACTATAATTCAATAAAAAATTTAAAAGTAAAATTAAAAATAAATTAGCATAATAAATGGCAAGGCTAAAGAAATACATAAAAATGAATGAGGGAGAACTTGAGTGATTTCAGCTGGGTGATCACAGACAAGGTTAGGAAGAGAACCCAAACAGACGATTTCAAACAAACAGAATTTTAAATCCATGAGAACCATAAGTAATTGGATGACACAGATTGAAAATTTTAAGACAAAGAGATGACAGCCAGTTCCATATAGAAGCAAATTGCTTTTTAAGACATTTATGTCATGGCAGCCAGGAGAGCCCACAAGGAATGTTTGATGATATTTTAAGTAGTTTGGGGGCCACTATAGTCTCCTTAACAGTCATTGCTTTTATTATTTGTCACAATCACAAGCCATTTAATGCATTTCACAAGATCCATGTGTCAACTGTCCTCTCTCTCAATGTAAATCCAAACACACTGTCGCCTTGAACAGTCCTTCACTTCCATGATCTCTGACACCACCTGGTGAAGCTTCCTGTGGAGCAGACAGGATTCTGTGCCTAAATACTCACAGAGTTCTAATCTGCCAGACATGGGACCCCTCTTCTTGACATGCACCAGACCCAGGGAAGTTGCCCTTGGAAAGGAGTATTGCGATGCAGAACTAGTCTGACTCTTGTCCTGCTCAGACATTTAAAAATGAGCATTCCCTGTATCTGCACACTCACAAGTCAATACTCACTACTATGTAAGGTCAGATCTCTGTTTGTGGGTGATTTATGGGCACAATAGCCTCTAGCTTGCTTTTCACTTCTAGGAACAATTGTCCATCTATGTGTCAGATGAAACTGTCGCAATGATACAGCCCAGGAATACAATAACGTTTTTTCACACTCAGGCATCTGTTTCATCTTTCTGAACAAGGGTCAGCATTTATGCTGCAGACATCTGACTCCATCCTTGAGAGGCAGCTCCTGAAAAGGTCCCAGGAAGCCCAGATACATGGACATGCCTGCATGCTAAGTCGCTTCAGTTGTGTCAGACTCCATGACACTATGGACTGTAGCCCACCAGGCTCCTCTCTTTATGGGATTCTCCAGGCAAGAAAACTGGAGTGAGCTGCCATACTCTCCTCCAGGGGATCTTCCCAACTCCGGGATTGAAGCCTCATCTCTTATGTCTCCTGCATTGGCAGGCGGGTTCTTTACCACTAGCGATACACAGACACCTGTGTCCAAATCAGGGATGATGATCCAGAAAGTAAACACCCAGGCTCACTTCCAAGTGTGCATTTCAGGAATACCACTCATGTAGTACATCACCCTACCATTTGAAGGGAGAAGAGAAATTGCAGCCTGAGAGCCAGTAACTTCTGGTCTTTTCTTTGGAAAGATAAGAATAGAGAGAAGGACAAGTGTCAGGCTGACTCACACATTGCTGACAAGCACCCAGTGATCTCCCAGGAGCCCCAGCTGCTGGGCCCAGGATGAAGGCACTTCAGGCTGGACCACCTGAGCTTTCTGGGGTGCAGACTTCCAGGGAGGGTCCAAGGACCATCAGGCTGGGGCAGATCAGCTCAGGTGGTGGTTTTTTCATCTCTCTGAAGTAAGGAAGATGCTAGAAGGCTCCAGACAGTCTCTTCCTGCATCTGGGTCCCCTGGGTGTGCCATGTGACAACTGTTGCTTCCACAAGCTCCAGGATGCAGTGAATCCTGGGGTGACCTGTGGCTCTGTAGCCGTTTCTGACAGAAGCACAGAGTGTCTCGTGGGGCAGATGTAGGGGCACCTCCCCTTGGGCAGGTCCTGCAGCGTTGAGTTAACATGGAACTCATTTCCCTGGGGCTTCCTAAAACAGCATGTGCTTTCCCACCTGCCAAACTCTCCTTCAAGTTGACGGCTCCTAGCAGAGGTGGTGAACCAAAAGCTGTACCACATGGGTGGTATCATCAAAGGACCTTTTGTCTCTCCTTAAGGGATCTTGGGGGCTTCTCTGGTGTCTCAGACGGTTAAGAATCCGTCTGCCATGTAAGAGACCTGGGTTCAATCCCTGAGTTGGGAAGATCCCCTGGAGGAGGACAAGGCTACCCACTCCAGTATTCTTGCCTGGAGAATCCCATGGACAGAGAAGCCTGGTGTCGCATGGAGTCATAAAGAGTCAGACACAACTGAGCAACTAACAATGTCACATTTGCTACAAAATCCTCTCATTCTCCAGCAAAATTTAACCACATTCATTCTAGGCCTACATTTATTCTCTTCCCTCTCCTAGAATTCTGTTCCCTCCTCTTTTCTCACTCTGTTATTCTGCATGGATAACTTTTACTAATAAAAATAAGTCTCAATTCAGGCATCATCTGCTACGTGAAGCCTTTATTGAGCTGGGATAGAAGCCCTTTTTCTCTCACCAGGTGCTTCTCTGCACAATCCCTTCCTTCCTTCTTTCATTAAACATCTATTGGGCGCCCACTCAGTGCCTGGCACTGGGGATACAAAGGTGACGGGGCATGGTTCTTGCCCTTGAGGAGCTCCCAATTAACCTGTTCTATGAGCATCTCACAGTGGACACATGAGCCCACCCTCATGTCCATGTTCGTTTATCCATATGTGGCCACCTGACTGAGGCCAAGCCAATTGGAATCTTTCCCACCGATTTTCCAATTTGAGATCACCTCCAGTGGCTGAGGCTCCCTGACAAGAGACCCTAGGAGTATGCACCCTGTGTTTCCTCATACCTGGAGAAGTTGATTCCCTGTGGGAAAGAAAAAGGTCAGTCTAGGAGTGCAGGGGACCCAGGGATGTTCAATCATCTGGTTCCTGCCGCTCTAGAAGCTCACGCCGTCTGCCTCCTGCTGTGTTGTTGGCACACCTGAGTCAGGTAGGGTCCACATGGGACCAAATGGTACACACGCTGTGGATGACTGAACAAAGCTTTGTCTCGAGTTATCCT